AAAAAAAAAAAAAAAAAAAATTAAAAAAAAATAAAATTGCATGGTCATGCTTAATGTCTCAACAGACATATGAAAAAGTTATACATCAACAAGATTTTTTTTCTTAATCCTCCTCTGCACATGATTAAACAAAAAACAAACCACACACAATTGAAACAGTGTATCCTGGATCTTCTGAATAAAACTATGTTTATCAAGTATACCTGAATCCATGGGATACCAATTCAGAAACATTTGATCATGAAGAGTAAGCACCTATTCTAGAAAATGTATAGTTATAGAAAGACACATAGCCAAAGCTCAAATACATTTGCAGGAATTTTACTTGCCTGTGAGATTACAACGATGTCTAATACAGTGAGCAGCTTCACTAAGGTCACAAATAACAACAAACTTGTGAATCATTTAAGGTAAACTTTTAACTTAATACTCGGTTATATTTTAAGACTTAGGATATTCAATATGAATTAGGTTAGTAGAAAATTATACACTTGGTGTCGCGATCCAACAATTGAACCAACTGAACAATACTCAAAACATATATCTCCCATCAAGCAAATCCATAGGTAAATTTATCGTCTGCTCCTAACATGATATATTATGGTCTTCGTCCAATACATTTTTCACGTCTTCCAGAATCAGACATTATTGTCTTATATAATTCATAAATTTATACTACAATTTCTAAATTCGCTCTGAAAACTGAACCAGTTGATTTGCACAATTGAATAAGCATACCAATTTAGGACCGATGAAGCATTAAATTAATAATAACGGAATCAAACAAAGGAAAATAAGGATGGGTATTGACTCACCTCAAAAGCTTCACACATGCAGCAAGTTCCTAACTAGTTAATTTGGGAATCGATAATAGTACTCCGTTCGTCTTTGATTACTCCCATGTACTGCAACATGTTTCATTCTTTCTGGAATTTTCTTCAGATTGTGACACTGAAATATACTCAAACCTTTTATCAGACTCATAGCAGTTGTGGCTAGATGCCAGCTTTCTAGATTTTCAAGAAAATCCAGTCTAAGGGTCTCCAGCTGACCGAAACTGTTGCCCTCACAAGTAATTTTCTTTCCGTTGTAAGCCCATGATAACTCGAGATGCTTTAAGTTTGGAAACTTTCCCAGAATTGGCATTGGATCTTCCTTGAGTTTTGCAGACCCTAGGACTAACAGCGTGATGGATTTCGGCAGCTTGTTTAAATCAGCTAATTCTTCTATTCCCCCTGATAACCACAATCTGTGAAGGTTTTCACAAGAAGAAAGAGGTTCAAGGGGAGGAAAATTTTGACCATATTGGCAAACTAGCCACAATGTGGTGAGGCGTTTCAGACTGCCAATCGATTTTAGGGAGTAAGATTTCCTTATTCTTTCCATGCCCAACTCTTGAAGGTTGACTAAAGCGGCAGCATCAGTATCTTTCCACTGATCACAGCGAATATATTTAAGAGTTCGTAGATTCGTAAGTTTGTCAACTTGCAAGGGGACCTCGTATCGAGCAACGAAATGCCTCAAATTTGTGAGCTGGGCAACCTGAGGAGGTAGTTCGCACGAGCAATGGTCAGTTATCAATGCTTCCAGTGTCTCTAGGCTTTTTAGTTTGCCAATGGAAGGTGGGAGTTTGAAAACATTGGTGTTAGACAAGCCTAAGAACTTGAGGTGTACCAAATCGCCTATAGTATGAGGTAGTTCATTCCTAGAAAAAATGATATTCTCCAAGTCCAGCACATATAGATGCTGGAACGTCGTACAGAACGTCATAAAATTTTTATCCTCCAAGTTCTTAAATTCTTTATCAAAGAACAATATTGACCTTACCTTCAATTTCGAAAGATCAAGCGAAAGATACCTTTGAGTTCGTGTATGAATAGCATGTCGATGACGAAATGGAATGCCCAAGTTTACTCTTGGATCATAAATATCAAACAAGTTAACCTCCATGGCTTTTTGTACAGCAAGATCCCGAAGTAGGTCGTGTATCCTACATGTAAGAATTTTATCGAAGAATGTCTCCGCCACTTGAATCAAGCTGCGACTAATTAGCTCATGTAGGAAGTTTTCAGCCATATCCTCCATATGTTCTTCTCTAATTCTTGGTATGAATCCCTCGGCCAGCCACAAATACATCAACTTTTCAGTGTCGATCACTTCATCTTCTTGGAAAATGCCAAAGTATAGAAAACATTGCTTGAGCTCAAATGACAAATCATTATAGCTCAATGATAGAATGTGATGGATCTCAATAGAGTCATTCTTCATATGCTGCCAAATGTGTGTCTTCACTTTTTGCCATTCGTCAACCCCCTTTCTGTGGGAAAGCAGCCCACCTAGTACCACAATTGCAAGTGGTAAGCCTCTGCACTTCTCCACCATTTCCTTAGCTAGCTTTTCCATTAACGGGGAGAACAAGTAAGTAGAACCCATCTTATTCTCTGGACATAGTTTCTTGCAAAAAAGGTCCCAACTTTCTTCTTTATTTAGAAAACGAAGTTTATGGGAGAAACCTTTGTCATCGACTCTTTCAGCCACGTCCTCCTTTCGTGTTGTAAGGATAACTCTACTGCCATTGTTGTTATCTGGTAAGGCTCTTTTCAGACTCTCCCAAGCTTCTCGATGCCATACATCATCAACCACCACAAGGTATTTGCGCTCTTTCAATTGATCACGGAGGTGAGTTTCTAGATCTCTCTCAGTCATCTCCTTCAGCATTTTTAATGTTTCTTCATCGCAACCTTGTATAGATTTTATGATACTCCGAAGGAGATCTGGGGTACTATACTGTTGAGAGACGCATATCCAAGCACGAGTGTGAAAGATAGCGAGTAGACTTGGGGAGTTATATAGGTTTCTTGCAAGAGTGGTCTTGCCTAACCCACCCATACCATAAATTGAAAGCACATTTCGGCGAGACTCCTTTTTGATAAGTTCATCAAGTAGTCTTTGAAACACTTCTCGAAAGCCAACAAAAAGTTGGTCTTCATCTGCATAGGACACTGCTCTTCTCAATGATCTTATTAACGTGGAAGACGGATCATTTGACCTATTACTTGGCCCTTCTCCAGCATTATTATTGATGTGAGTAATACCGTACGTATCTCTTTTTCGAGAGATATCCATGACTCTTTGCTTGAGAGATTGGATGTCCGTCCCAATGTTGTGAAAGTTGGCCTCATTCTGACAGATGCAAGCACAAGCCTTAAGACGATCAACAAATCCAGCATTGCCATCATTAAGTCCCCCATCCAAACTGTATGTTTCTAAGATGGCCACTGCTTCATTAGCAACAGAGGTGATTTCAAATATCCATTGTTGCACCAGGTGATCTTCTGCTTGCTTCTTTTCGGCATCTTTGAGGAATGCCTGCATGAAAGACAGTTCATTTCTCAGCCAAAGCACGTTCTCTCTCAAACTTTGGCGCAGGGAAACTTCCTCAATGAGGAAATCTCCCAGTTTTTGAACTGCATAGGACACAACTGCATCGACCATCTTGACCTTGACGCTAATTTTTTCCCTGTAAAGATAAATGATAGGCTAACAGTAGTAGTATTATAGAAATGCCTCTTGCAGTGTAGTGATTGCTCGGTGGCTTCACCGTTCGTTTATATACAAAATTAAACCTTGAAGAAGAGTCGGAAATTTCCAGCTGGCTATGAAAGTCATAGCTATCATCGCTCAAGTTGTTCTCTTCATAATCATTCTTAGCGTGTAAGAATCTAGACTAAGTCACTGTTTCATATTTTGCCTGAATTAATTAGTGCTGAAAATAAAAAAAAGTCAGCAGTTTTAGAAAGATGTCAGAAGACTTCCTACGCATTTCGTTGTTTTCTCAAATTCTTTAGAAGCAACTTGGGATATTATTATGGAAGTTTTAATTAGTTTATGTCCTTAACCAATCATTATTAATTTGAGCCAAGTAGAAAAAGGCAAAGTGGGTGATTTTAAACATTGAAGGAAAACAAGTTGCTGGCCACAATCTGCCATAAACACAACGCGTATATCTTATACTAATTATTCGTGTCTATAAGTTAGTTAAACGTCCCAAATTCCCAATATATAATACTAATAAAACAAAATTCGAAATTTATTGAAAACTCCATGTTCATATAAAACAAAAGCAGCCTTTCGCCATCTTCTTCATTTTAAAAAAAATGAAATTACTAACGCTAGCTCCGTAAAAATCAGAAGACTCACCTTTTTCAGACTCCGCCATATTGGAGGAGTTGCCCCGGCTAGAAGAGCTGATCTTCACATGATGAACAAATTCAACAAAATATGGCTAACAAATTTGAGCATTTTGACTCCCAGAATGGAAAAGAAATTGAAACCCAAAGAACTGGCCATATTAATACTAGCTCTTGCGAAAACCTAAATTTCGATTTTTGTTTGTGTTTCTGTGAATATTTGCAGAGGACATACTACTGATGAGACGCGAGACGGAGGTAAGGCTAGATTGAAAATAGACTGTACTCTAAGCGTTTGGATATAGATTCGATGAAGTTGCCTAAAAAAAAAATAATTTTTGGAAGTTAAAGTCTTGTTTGGATGTTTATTTTATTTGGAAAAAAAATAAGTTTTATGAATGGAAGAAGAAATTTTACCCAAATGGAAATTTTTTTCCCCAAAACATGATCATATTTCATAAATAAATATTTGAAAAAATGAAACCCAAATCTACGGACAAACGGGAGCCAGTGTTTTAAAAGGCGTGGACGTAAGGTGGGGCGTTTTACATATGCCTCAGCGGGACGTAAGCCCTATAGGTATTTAATTTTTAATATTTTATAAAATAATATAATGACAGTTAATATTTATAAACAGGTAAAATTGCATAAAAATTGAAGAAAATTATATATATGTGTGCTCCGTCCCCACAAAAAACTAATCAAAACAATCTATTATACGTTACTTACAAGCACAAGTAATTTGAGTCTAAAAGAATAAAATTTTCTATATGGAGGAACAAAAAGGATGATTAACCGCAATTTGAACTTTGAATTTGCTGCTATGAAGAAAAATGTAGTTCTCTTTGTATTTGTTAAAAAAAAAATATTCTTTGCTTTTGGGATATATTAGCACACTAGCGGACAAGATAAAAAATTAGAAAAATCATAAATTAGGGCTTAAATCAATAAAAAAGTCTTTACTTTTAAATTTAATACTTTTAAATTCTTTTTTAAACCTTTTGAGTAATTACCAAACTGACTTTTGAGAATTTGGGTGTTATATGAAAGATTAATTCAACAAATTTTATTTTAATTTGAAAAAGTCTTTGGGGCTTACTACTTACTAAAAAAACACGCCCTGAACGCCCCGGTGTATGCCCTGAATGCCCGGGCGTACGCCCCAAATTGCGAGGCGTACGCCTCTTGAGACTTTCGCCCCACACCATCGCCCTGGGGCGTTTTTGGTACGCCTCGCCCCAGGGCTCGCCCCAGAAACGCCTTTTAAAACAAAGACGGGAGCTAAATATTTCAGGTTGAACAAGATTAAAATAAAATACTTAAAGTGCAAGTTTAGTGACATTATTCAGGAGGCTGACGTGATAACGATGCTCCATTTAAAAATCATCCCCAAGAGAGGAAGTTTTAGGTACCTTGAGTCAGTAATTCAAGACAATGTGGAGATTGCATGGTGAATAAAATAGAGGCTAGCATCTGGTGTCTTGTGTGATAAGAACGTGCCACCAAGACTTAAAGATAAGTTCTATAGAGTAGTGATTAGACTGATTATATTGTATAAGCAGAGTGTTGGTCAGTCAAAAACTCTCATCTCGGGATGCTGAGATGAATATGTGGGCATACTAGGAGAGATATGGTCAGGAATAAAGATAATCGGGATAAGGTAGGCGTGACCTCCGTGGTGGACAAGATACGCGAAGCAAAACTGAAATGGTTTGGGCATGTGAAGCCCCAGTGAGGAGGTATGAGAGATTGACCATGATGGATCTGAGGAAAGGTAAAGGTATGCCGAAGAAGTATTAGAGAGAAGTGATTAGACAAGACATGACACATCTTCATATTACCGAGGAGATGACCCTTGATAGAAGGGTGTGGAGCAGGGATGTTCAAAACCGAACCATAACCGATAACCGAACTGTAAAATTGGCTTATTAGCTTGTTGGTATCGGGTTATCATATTAATAGTTGGTGAACGGATTGAAATTTTATAATTAACGGCTTATGGGCGAATTATTCAATTTTCTTATTTCATAAACTGTTAACCCGTTAAGAATTATTATATTTACACCATTGGGTTTGCATCTTGTCACGACCCAATTTAGGATCATGACCGGCACTTAGGAGCAAGTATCCCCAAGTAAGCCTCATCGGTATTTTACATAAAATCGGATAAAGTTTTCCCTATTTTTGGACTATCCCAAAAAATTTTCCGTCTCAAATCAACAACCAAACATCCTAATATCAATTCAAACGATAATGACTTTATCAATTAACCAAAACAAATATCTACCATTAATAGTCCACCAACTAACAACTAGAAATACTACTTTATCTGCAACTTTGATAAGAATGAGCGATACTCAACATAAGTCTATAATAACAAAAGAATACTCAAGACACTAAAAGAATGGTTATGGAGCAACTCTAAGAGTTCAAAGAAAAGACCATAACAATAAAGAAAATCTCCGCCCACGCGAACAAGTGCGAGGCTCACTAAGAACTATCAACATGTGCGCTCTAATTAACGAAATCCTCGCCCGCGTCAACTGCTGTCTCTGTAAAAAAAAATTAGCAGGGAATGAGTCGCTATCTCAGTGAGTAATAACACTTAACCACAATCGTTTTTATTAGGGACAAGTCAGAAAACATGCTTGTATATATTTTAAACAGAAAATATCATTAGAATACCCTTTCAGAAATAATAAATAATAATTAGTATCATCATGTTTTTCATATAATATAAATCAATTGATAATTCGGTAATAAACTCGGTAAATACTGTGTAATATCAATATTCATGTTTGGGAGGTTTCAATGAATAGATCATGTAATCGGTATAACTGTGGACTTTTTCGTAAGAAGTCAAATATAATGATAGTCCCTACTCGAGGGAAATCGATAACGGTATGCTAGTTCTACCTTCCCACCAGCGAGAGCTATAACTGTACTTGATAATTACAAGGTGCACCAGGTCTAACGAACCCGCCGTTAGCTACGGGATCCTTCAAAGTCTACTCCCATTTATACTTGTCTCTGTAATCCGTATATACTCATAAGAAAATATTTTAAAACAATATAAGGCATTTCAGTTCTTATCAAATCATGTAATTTCATTTCGATAACCGTAAATTCAAGTAACGGTAAAATATATCTAGTGACAACAAGAATATTTAAAACAACGGTAATCATCTCAAATAACTATTTCGATATCATATCGAGTAAAAGACTTGTCCCACATACAACTCAAAATAATCGGTAACGTATTCATATTAAAAATCAAGTGTAAGTCATGCAAGATATGAAAACACAAATTGCAGTAAGATTACTACTCACAGTACTCGTGCCGAAATACCAAATGCTTCACCTCAAGCAATTCGTACAAATTCCTCCAATCAATCTATAATTACATAATATCGATCTCATGTTAATTACTTTATTTAGGCTAATTCATAGATAATTTAGAATACCCAACCCTCGAGGTTTTATATTTGACTCTTAATTCGCCGAATTATATTTACCCACATATGAGTAATTACTAATCTATCAACTCCAATCTATTCATATAATTTATTAATCCAATTTCATAAAGTTCTATTGATTCTTTAGGAAGAAAATTCTCAATTTTGTGAATAAACTAGTATAATTTCTATTACTCTGTAGAATCTTTCAATCACGAGAATAGAATTAAAATCTACCAGAAGAAGAAGCTCAAGTAATACCCGTAAGACACAATTAGTGAATAAGATTCCTCAACAGTTATAGATATGGTTATGTGATGACTCAAAATGTCATCTTTAAAGTTAATTATTAATTCTGTATTCTAAAACCTCGAAAAGTACTATTTATCATTCATCGAATTACGTGCGCAGTCCGTACAATTTTAAGGAAATTTTTTATGAGAAAAATAAATTAAAATGTGAAATAGCGCCTTAAAACTTAACTGAGTTGACTTTGGTCAACATTTTGAGCAAACGGACTCGGAACAGTATTTTGATAGTTCCGGTAGCTCCGTATCGTAATTTGGGACTTGGGCGTATGCCCGAAATTTAATTTGGAGGTCCCTATCTCAAGTTATGACCATTTAACGGAGACTAGTAATTTAAAGGCTAAAGATTTTTAAGTTTGACCACGGGGTTGACTTTTTGATATCGGAGCCGGAATCCCATTGTGAAAATTTGAATAGCTCCGTTATGCTATTTATTACTTGTGTGCCAAATTTGAAGTCATTGCGGATTCATTTAATATATTTTGGCACGAGATTTGCAAATTAAAAAGTTTGAAACTTTTAAGTCCGAATCAAGGTGTGAATTATAATTTCGATGTTATTTGATGTGATTTGAGGTCTCTACTAAGTTCATATGATGTTTTAGAGCTTGTTGGTATAATTGGTTGAGGTCCCGGGGGGCTCGGGTGGATTTCGGGTGGTTAACGGAATTTAATTTTGGCATTTCAAGAACGTTCGACGTCGTTTCTTCAAGAATAAGTAGTATAACATTAAGCAAATAAGTTCCAAATTCAGTTTTAATGGAAGCATTAGATCCGTATTGAAATTTTGGAGCCATAGCAAAAAGAATCGTCAAATTTGGATATCGTATGAGAGAGTTATGCCTATTTCCATGTCGGGGAAGATTTTTCGTAGCCGCTAGCGCCCAGGGTAACGTGGGGCGCTAGCCCTGGCGCTGAAAATTATTGGTGTTCTGGAAAGTGCGCCACAGGCAGCGCCCCACGCTACCTGTGGTACTCGAAAACGTCAGAGACCCCATAAAACGGAGAGTTTAGCCATTTTACTCATTTTTGAGTTTGGGGAGCTCAGTTTAGGCGATATTTGGGCGATTTTCACGAGGAAAGATTGGGGTAAGTGTTCCTTATCCTATATTGATTATATTTCATGATTTCATACTCATTTACACCATGAATCCGTGAATTTATGGAAGAAAAATCAGATTTTTACAAAATCTTCTAAAAAAGT